TGTTTGTTGGTTCTCTCCTGTGTAGTATGTGAGTAGAGTTGTTTGTTGGTTCTCTCCTGTGTAGTATGTGAGTAGAGTTGTTTGTTGATTCTCTCCAGTGTAGTACGTGAGTAGAGTTGTTTGTTGGTTCTCTCCTGTGTTGTACATGAGTAGAGTTGTTTGTTGGTTCTCTCCTGTGCTTCGAGGGTTTTCCGGGTTCTCCGGTTTTCCTTCCTCCCCAAAAATCAACTCTTAAATTCCAATTCGATCATGGAATGAGGGCCACAGGTTTGTTAGCCACTGGCTATTGATTGGCAGAACACGGGAGAAGTATTTAGGAGAAGCGCGACGCGTAGTAAACCACGTGAATCTATGTGTAAATCGACCTGAAGGAGACTTTCTATTGCAGGGGAACTGTATAATTTTTATGTGGGGACGTGTTTCCTCGAGGGGGAGGGGGGAGGGTTGCAGAATCTACATGCGCGAGGAAGAAAAAGCCGTTTATATTTGTTCTTTGCCTTGCCGTGTCGCAGTCATTCGATATATACTATCTATCGTGTTTTACCTTAAATGTCGTAACACCCTCCACAGGAACTATCACCATCATCCATGTATAATAAGAATACTGTCCACCGACCTGTTGCCATATCAGGGTTTCTTTATTGCTACTATTTACAAACACATTCAGTTGAGCAAGATTGGAGCCTTTCATGTGATGATAAAACTTAACGCACTTTCCACCAGTTATCTGAGGACTGATAAGGCGGGCCATGTTGTTGCTTCTGTGGTAATAAGAATAGGTTTGCATCGAAATATAATATCCTGTAATAGAGAGAAAAAATACATCCCAGGTCAGTGTTTACGACAATACCGTGCAACCCTATTAACTTTGAGAATGCAACCGCCAAAACACTCGTTCAAAAGTATTTTCACGCGCCTTTTCACACATGTAGGATGTATGGCTTAGGATATAGGGTGTGCGGCGTAGGGCGTAGGGTGTAGGGTGTGCGGCGTAGGGTGAAGGGTGTAGGGTTTAGGGTGTACGGAGTAGTGGGTAGAGTGTACACG